GGATTCTCCCCAGAAAACTCGGCTATGAAGTCTGCCAGTATTTGACCCTTTATTGCAGTTCGGGGTTTGAAATGAATGTCGTGCTCCCCCAACTCTACAGCCCATTTGGAGATCCTTCCGGAGAGTTCAGCTTTCCTCAAAATTGCCTTCAAGGGCTGATCAGTTAGGACAGTGATCGGGTGCGCCTGGAAGTAATGGCGCAGTTTCCTTGCAGTGGTGACCAAGGACAGGGCCAGTTTCTCTAGGGGCAGATATCTTGTCTCTGCATCCAGGAGCGCCTTGCTGATGTAGTAAATCGGCTTCTGTCGGTGTTCATGCTCACGGATAAGTACTCCGCTTACTGCAACTCTGAAACTGCCAGGTATAGGAACAGCATCTCCCCCTGGATGGGGACGGATAGGGTCGGAAGAGTCCTCAGGTATTCTTTGATCCCAGCCAGGGCGTCCTCGCACCCCTGGCTCCACATACTCTTCCCAGCACATTTGATTGCTCCAAAGAAGGGTTTGCATTTATCCGAGGAGCGTGAGACGAATCGGTTAAGTGCAGCCAGCATCCCTGTGAGTTTCTGGACTTCTCGGACAGTGCGAGGGCTTCGGATATCCAAGATTGCTTTAATCTGATCTGGGTTGGCTTCGATTCCTCGCTGACTGACCAGATACCCGAGGAATTTTCCCGATTCCACTCCGAAGACGCACTTTGCTGCGTTCAGCTTCAACCCATACTCTCTGAGAGTGGAGAAGGTATCCGCCAAGTCTGTAAGATGATCACCACTCCGTTTGCTTTTTACCAGCATGTCGTCTATGTAGACCTCCATGGTGTTGCCGATCTGCTTCTTGAACATCCGATTCATCAATCTTTGGTATGTTGCCCCGGCGTTCTTCAATCCAAATGGCATCACTTTATAACAATAAACTCCCTTCGGAGTGATAAACGCCGTTTTTTCTTGGTCCGGGGCATAAAGAGGGATCTGATGATATCCTGCTCGGGCATCCAGGAAGTCCATCCGTTCATATCCGGCTGTGGCATCTACCAGCTGGTCCACCTTCGGCAGGGGGTAGTCATCCTTGGGACAGGCTTGTTTAGATCTGTGAAATCCACGCAGACACGCCATTTCCCCCCTTTCTTCTTTGCACACACTGTATTGGACAGCCATTCTGGGAACTGTATCTCTCGAATGGCGTCGGCTCTTAGGAGTTTGTCTATTTCCTCATTGACCGCGTTGGTGTGATGCGGGGCCATACGTCGTGGCCTCTGCTTTACTGGCTTGTGAGATGGGTCAACATGCAGCCTGTGAGTAATTATCTCGGGGTCTACTCCTGTCATTTCCATTTCGTTCCAGGCGAACACGTCTGTATTCCCTCTTAAGAACCTGATCATCTCCTCCTGTTCGGCTGCGGGCATCGAGGTCCCAACTAGGAAATACTTCTCTTCTTCTCCTTCAACCAAGGGCACCTTCCGGAGGTCTTCAACCGATCGTTCAGCTGGGTCCACCCGGGGGTCATCCATCCCCGGACGCCCGGACTGTAATTGCTATTTTTCTATGATCTCTTCCGGTGCTCGCCCCTTCTCCTGGCTGGACGCCCCGGCTCGGACGGCCGAATAAAAACAGTTTTTCGCAGACGCTTGATCCCCCGGATCTCCATGACGCCCTCTGGCGTGGCGAACTTCAACTTCTGGTGGAGAGTGGAGTGTACCGCTCCCAACGCGTGTAGCCATGTTCGCCCCATAATCACGTTGTAAGGGGAGTCCGTGTCGATCACCACAAACTCTGTGTCGATGACAAAGGGACCAGTGACGACCGGTAATGTAATTTTCCCCACGGGCAAGGCGAAAGAGCCGTTGAACCCGATGAGGGGTGTCCTGATTTTGGTTAAGTCTTTGGGGCCAAAGCCCATCCGCTTCAAAGTCTCGAAGTACATCACCTCCGAGGAACTCCCTGAATCTATCAAGATTCTCTTGACATCGAATTTCCCTATCTTTAGGGTTAAGACAAGGGCGTCGTTATGAGGAATCACCACGCCCGTCAAATCCGTGTCAGAGAACGTAATGCCAAGTTCACCCATCCTGGCCCTTTTACTTGATGGCCCCACACCTCCTTCGGCTACTTTTCTGGTAAAAGCTACCCTCTTGAGGTCGGATTCGAGCTCTTTGGACGTGGGGCGCTCCAGTGGACACACATGGATGACGTCTATGACGTTGTTGGGTTCCTCGGTCGGGGCAGGGGCTCGTTTTTCTTCTGGCCTAGGCTCTATGTATTCTTTCAGGTATCCATCTCGGACTAAGCTCTCCAAGAATGACTTGAACACCCTGCAGCTCTCGGTGCGATGCCCGACATCCCGGTGATATGAACACCTTACTGTTTGATCACGGGTGGAGGGGTCGCTTTGCATCCTGGGCGGCCATTTGAAGAACGGCTCGCGTTTGATCTTATGGAGCAACCTGAAGATGGGTTCCTTGAAGACGGTGTGAACTCCTCTGGACGAACCCCCTGGACGGGGTAGCAATCCCTTCCGGGGAATATCTTCGTGCTCTTTTTCCCTTCTCTTGGGTTGGAGGGCTCGGCCTTTGTTGCTCCCCATCTCGTCCTCGACCCTTGAGTACTTGTTGATCCGGGCCATCAGTTCCCCCATATCCGAGGGAGTCTTTTTGGTCAGGGATCGGTACAGGTCCGTGTCCCTCGCCAAGCCGAGCCGGAATGATGCTGCTGCCATGACCTCCGAGCATCCCTCGACCTCATTGACTTCTTCCCAGTATCGGATGGCGTACTGGCGAAGAGTCTCGGATTCCCTCCTCCTGAGGGTCAGCAGTGATCCAATGTCCTTGGGGCGCTTACTCCCCGTGATGAATCGGGTTAGGAACTGCCTCGTCAATTCTTTCCAGGACCCAATACTGTTTGGGGGAAGCGCCTCGAACCACCTCATCGCAGAGTCCCCCAAGCTCATAGGGAACACCCGGCATAGAAACCGTTGGTCCGAATGATAGAGGGACATCATCTGCTTATATTGTCTGATATGGGCATCGGGATCAGATCGCCCATCATAGGTCTTGAACCGTGGCACGACGAACTTTCTTGAGACATCCATCTCACTGATTTCCCTCGTGAAGGGTGTTTGCATGACTTCGTCCTCGGCCTCGTCCTGGATCGTCTTACCCTTTCTTCTGGAGTCCAATCGGGCTCTGAGATCTACTTCTTCCCTTACGGGATGCCTCCTGAAGTCTCTGGGTTCGTCGGTAAGCCCCTCGTTTCCTGGGCGTCGTGTAGATTGGGTTGAGTCCTCCTCGGATTCATCTCCCTTCCTTCGTCTGGATAAACCTCGCCGGAGGTCGTCCAGGGCCAAGGGCCTTGCTTTCCTGGAATGGTTGTCAAGATGGCATTCGCCGGCTTTGGGTCGCTTCGGGGCCCTGGAGCTTTCTGCTTTGTGATCCAGGTGGTTCCTTAGATCCTTCGTCTCCGCCTCATGGACGGGGAGTCCTCGGGAGAGGAATGAATCCCTCGACCCTCCGCCTGAGGCAGCAAACTCGTCGAGCCGGCTAAGGACGTTTACATTGTCCTTCTCCAGCTGACGTAATCTATCGCCAAATTTCTCTTCTATCACCTCTGCCAGCTGACGGGCCAAGGGGGCTGTTCCTCCTGACCTGATCCCCATACTGGTTTGGGGGGTTACCCCCTTGACCGAGTAGAGGCACTTTTAATCGTACTGGTCCGATCCCTCCCCCCGTGATGGCAGGGAGCTTGCAACTCATGACTCCTTTGGAAGGGTCCCTTCCCTTTCTGTCTGGTGTTCACCATGGTCACTGTTCTTTATAGAGAAAAGATTAGGAAAACTACTCGTTTCCCACAGACGGCGCCAGATTGTGCGGGCTTGATCTTGCACGATATATATAAAATATTGGGAACAGATCTCTCCCCTGGTGAACTTTGGGTGAGCCGGTTGAATGGCCAAACACACTGCTCGAAACAGCCTACCAGGAACGGTGGCAATCTGGAACGGTAAAGGAAGATCCTGGGAAAGGAGGAACGACCCTGTACGTGCGAAAGGTATTTCCTGGGACAAAAGAGAACAAGTTAGAAGGGCGCCGGAGTGTTTTTCGGCGTATCCCCTCCGACGATCTAGTCAGTCTTTGAATGAGAGAGAGAGAGGAAGGAGAAAACACTGAGAAGGATATTTCGTAGTGGTGAGTTTGTGATTTCATACCCCTTTGCCTTTTTGGGAGTGATATTTATACCTTAGAAGCTCATGATTGCTGTCAGTGTGGTCAGCAGGTGATCATCAGGCACAGGTAGCGTGTGTATTGATTTGATGAGGAATGTCCTCTCTAATTGATTGCTCGGGGTCCCGAGCAATCAATGCTGAGCCGTCGGGACGCCGACGGTACAATATGCTCCTTTCGGGAAGGATGCAATAAATGCTCTGTAATAGGAGCATTTATTGCCTTTCATATCCGAACCTTACCGCATTGAATGCGGTCTCGTCAACAGAAGGGTGCAATTAATTTGTTTGCTTTCCCAAGTCGCGTGTCAGCGACGTCATGCGGTTTGTCTACTTCTGATGTGACATTATTTGCCACGCGTCCATCCCTTATTGGCTGTGACGTCGGTATTCCAGCGTGTTCTGACATTACTTGTGTTAAGACGAGGTTATGATGAATAGTCTAGACTGGCATAGGCTGATGTCCCGTACGTCAGTAGCTTTATCCGGGAGTAGAGGAAGCTTCCAGGATGGAGTGACCCTCGGCACCGAGGAAAGGCTCACCTCGGGGACCGAGGGTGGTATGCTCCGAGATACATAGTGACCGAGGACACGTGTCGTTGTATAATGCACCGAATATGTGATCCTATATGAGAGGTACCTCGGGGGAGAGGACGCCTTTGCCGATGGTGCTCGAACCCGAGCAACATTGTTCTAAAAACCCCGAGGACACGTGTCTTCATCATAGGCTTTTCAGAAGAGTCCCATCAACATACAATTACACATTGGTTGGGGGTGATTCTTTAGTAGATAAGCTCCAGAAAATAACTTACGAGATCAAGTTCCAGCAGTCACCCGATGGTGGTTCTATCTCTAAGGTGACCAGCAAATACTACACAGATGGTGATTTTGCACTCGATGAAGAGGAAATCAAGGCAGGCAAGGAAAAGGTTTGGGCAATGTACAAGGTTGTCGAAGCCTATCTCCTTCAAAATCCCGATGCCTATGCCTAATCCTCGGTGTCCTTGTTTTGTGACTAATGCTCTTTGGATGCTTGTTTAAGTCTGTTTGTCTGAAACTTTGGCTTTTGATTTGGTTTGTATTGAGTCTTGTTTTAGAATAAGGATCTTATCCAGCTAGTGATAAGTTGGGGAAGAATGTGATCTATATTCAGCTTTGTCCTGTTGTTATGAAAAATTGCAACCATAAAGCAAATAAAGTATCAGTGGTTTATCACTTCTATGAAAATGAAATTGTTTAATTGTTAAAGTGACAGGTCGATTTGATTGTTGACAAAGGACAGAAACATAAACTTTTTGATCACGACAGAAACATAAACTCACATTACCTGAAATTGTACTTCCTTGGTGGCTTGAAACCGGGGTTCAAACGATGCACATGCTCGAGAATAACTATTGATGGTATCACAAAATATCTAAGGGTGAGCTCGGCTCACAAGATCAGATAGATCGGAAGCTCAGTTCATCAATATTATTTGTTGATCTCAACTCTCTATATTCATACCTTACGAAAATTTGTTCAAAGGACAGCTGGATCTCACCAAGTCCCCTATCTTTCTGGCGTCAATCACCCATCTAGCTCAAATCTCGTTGCACAATAAGGGAGAACTGTTACAGTTAAGGGGCACCCCAGATCAAGTAAACCCTAGAAATATCTATAAATAAGAGGCAAAACCCTCAAGAAAGGAGATAGCCATAGTAGTCTTGCAAAGTACTCTCTATAAACCATACGCTAAAAATTAATATATTTAGGAGTAAGACACTCTCTTAAAAGTGGATTAACTGAACTCCCAAGCTGGTGAACTACTATAAATACTCTGTGTGACCCTTTACTTATTCAAAGATCCTATTCCCAAGAGCATTAAAGTTCAGACTGAACCAAATCACATCGTTCAGTACACTTTAAATCCGCATCACTACTCAATCTTGTTAAGAACAACATCAACTATTATATTTAAAGTTTGTATTGTTACCATAAATCCAAAAAAATGCAGTTGAGAAGATCTAAAGCTAATGTTTAATTAAACACTAATGCTATTGAGACATAATATGAAAATATAATGAGTTATCACCAATGAAGTGATACTGAAATGTATTTAATGATGAGTCTCATTGTAGTATTAAATGAATTTATTATCATATCATTGGTGACAATTCATTATATCTTTAAATTATGTCCATAAATTATGTCTCAATAGCATTGCCCTTAATTAAATGAGTGTTTCACGTGGTAGAATTTTCTAAGGGAATATAAGGTGATCAAAGTCCATACAACCCAATCTTTATTTTGAACATGAAGTGATGAGGTCTAAAGTTTAGTGGGAGATAATTCTTTTGCAGCTCCTTGAGTGCAGAGATAGAAATTTCCATTTCCACTGTGTTTTTTATATAGTTTCGAGCACCTTAGCATTGTCAGCATCCTATATGATCCTACTGCCATACTTTTCCTTCAAATAAAAGGTCCAACGGGTGCCAAGGTAGAGGGCACTGCTTGATGGTGATGGATCCAAGGTCGTCCCAGTCAAAGCTGGTAAGTAGTAGTATTTGTATGTACGCCTCTCAGCTACCCATAGGCCTCTATAGTATAGCATGTTATAGCCGAGGGTTATTTGGGTTGTGCCCCTTACATTATGGACAGTCATCTTAGTCGGAGTCAAATTCTTCACCTTGTCCAAACTTAAAAATGTGCAGGCTTTGCCATCCCTAACTTTGTGCCAGGTGAATGTTGTTGCAAAGCAACATGACCGAGCTTGATTGGTCATCTTTGATTTTTTTAAAATTCTATCTAAGAGGTCAAGGGTCAATAATTTTATTTTTGGAAGGTATTAAAGGGGCCAATAAATTGCCAAAAGAATCAGTCTGATTTCTTATGTCCATCTCTTTCGGTTCTATTGTATTTTTTTTTCTCGAATTTTTCTTTACCTCTTTGTTCGTTGTGCATTCCTCTAAATTAGAAAATTAGAATGTTCATTGTAATAGTTATTTATCAATGTATATAAAAAACAACGTTTGCAATATGCATCAAGTTTTATAATTTCCTTTAACTCACATGAATTTTCCCACGGAATTAGAACATCCCCAAAACACGTAACCTTTTGAGATACTGTTTAGGATTTAGTGTTTAGATTTTTACTTTATTCAAGTCCTTGAAGTTGGAATTTTTTAATAGGATTAAATCAAAAAATCATAGTCAATGTCAATTTTTTGGATTTTTGGTTGGGGAAAGCCTATCAAAATCAACTTTCGTCTTTGCATTATAATTTTTTTATTTCCTCAACAAAATTATTTCAAACTTGTCAAATTATATATCCATAGAAAAATGTCAAAGCAATTCATCAAATACTCAAAATTATTTTAACTCAATTTCATCTTATAATCACTTGATATGAAGTATTGGTGACGACATGAATACTAAAAGTATTACATTTATAGAGGGAGATGTATCTCTAAGCGAGGAAAACAAGAAAGAGGGAGCGTAAAAAATACGAAGAAGCAAACAAAATAATATAGAACAAATCTCTAAAAAGTATATCGATTTTCGGAGAAGATAACTACAAATTTAGGTAATAAAGGGAGATTTTAAGAACCTCAAGGGAAGTAACGGAATAAAGAAAATAACTCTCCCTCCCAATTGCTATATGAGATATTCTTTCTTTTGTCTTAAAAGCTATTTTATATGTTTGTTTAGGCTAGTTTAGATCCAATGCTTTGTCATGTGCATTTGAATACTTATATGATTAAGGTACTTTTTCGGTAACTTTTTTTTAAGTAGTTTTTGCTTTTTTGCTTTTATTTAGTATTTTTAAATGGCGAGTGTTTTATGTATTAAATTTTAACTTTTTTTTTCCAGACTTACTTTCTTCTTCCAAGTTTAATTCCATGTATGTTCTTCAAATATATTTTTTTATTTTAATGGATTTTTTTTTTTTTGATTTAAAAATCATTTTGAAAATTTGTCACCAAATGGAAGATAAATTGGGGAAAGGCTACGATCCTGTACAAAAAATTACAATTTTTTAAAGTTAAGTTTAAAATTTTTAAATAGTATGATCCATCGTGAGAAGTTGTGATCGATACCGAAATTACAATTTTCAAAAATTAGGTTACAAATTTTAAAAATTAACTTACAACTCATAAAAGAGAAATTATAATTGTTCAAGGAAAACTTATGATAAATCATAATCTTCTCTTGAACAGTTGTAACTTATGTTTTTAAAGGTATATTTTTATTATAAAAAGTTGTAATCGGTAGTACGGTATAATTTTTTAAAAAAAATTGCCCTCCCTCTCTCTTTTTCTCTCTGAGTGTGCATGTTTTTTTTAGTATGTCAATGTGCGTGATGGTCCTAGGAAACGGTCTTTAAAAACTAGAATAATGATTCACATTGGATGAATTCTATAAACTTTGGAAACTGATGTTGTTCTTTTTGTAAATGAACAAGCATTGGAACATATTTAGCCGTCCCCTGATGCTATTTCCAAAATGTTGGAAACAACTTTAAGAACAAAGGGTTCTTTTACTTCAACCTACAAATACCATCCTCTCGAGTTCTCTTCTCTCCATCAAAGAGTTGCCACCAAATCCAAGCTTTTCTTTGTAGTTGCACTCCAATCTTCAAAACCCTACACAAGTCATGGGTGTCACCACCTTCACCGAGGAGTACGCTTCCCCAATCCCGCCTTCCAGGTTATTCAAGGCCTCGATCATCGACTCTCACAACTTGATTCCAAAACTCATGCCACAGGGTATTAAGAGCATCGAATTCGTCGAAGGTGATGGAGGGGTCGGAAGCATTAAGCAAGTCAACTTCGTTGAAGGTCAGATTACTTAGTTATGCTTTGTGTCCTGATCATGGACAGCCCTACGCTCTATACACAATTAGAAATATCAAAATATGATACAATCCGTTAATACGACATGAAATTAAAGAATTTAGGTTTTTCTTAAACACTTATTTTATAAACGAGTGAACCCTACACAACACAATTAAGAAATATACGACACAAATCATTTATATACTATACGATACAAACTCAATATGACATGATTCAATAACCACAAATTAATAATCCTATTAGGCATGAATCGAGTATTTTTTAACACGAATCTACTACATCTCAACATAAACCCATCTTACTTAATACGATTGACAGACGTATACACAATCCTATATCATAAATCTAACATGAGCCTTTTCCATGCAGGTAGAGATTTCAATTCTGTGAGGTATCGCATCGACGAGCTCAATGAAGAGACATACACGTATAACTACTCATTAGTTGGAGGTGATTCCTTGGCTGAAAAGCTCCAGAAAATAACTTACGAGGTCAAGTTCGAGCAGTCACCGGATGGTGGTTCAATCTCTAAGGTGACCAGCAATTATTATACGGATGGTGATTTTGTGCTCAAAGGAGATGATATCAAGGCAGGAAAAGAAAAGGTCATGGCAATGTACAAGGTTGTGGAAGCCTATCTTCTTCAAAACCCCGACGCCTACGCCTAATCTTCAATGTTCTTGTCTTGTGACTAATGCTCTTTGGATGTTTGTCCAAGTCTGTGTGTCTGAAACTTTGGCTTCAGATTTGGTTTGTTTGGTTGTAATGTTGCATCTGGTTATAGAATAAGGAATTTACCCAGCTTGTGATGTTGTGGGTATAGACATTGTGATTTATGTTCCTTTTAAGAAATGTTTTGTGCTGTAATTGGATAAAAATGCAGAAATAAAATAAAAGATTTCACTGTTTATGACTTTGGTTTGGTCATCCAGCAAAATGCAAGGCGTAAACTTACATGTCCTAAGTTCGAGTCATTTCTAGTCACATATAGCTTGAGTTTAAACAATGCGTGGTTTATATTCCTTCTGAAATGCTTTGCACTGTCTTTTTATAAAAAGGCAATAACAAAATGAAGATTGATCCATTGTTTATAACTCGAGGGAAAATGATATTGATAGTTTAGCCTGTGCTGATTGATCTAGTCATTAAACAAAAGGCAACGTGTAAACTCGCATCTCCTGAATTAGAATGCCTCTCGGTGACGTAAAACTTGAGTTTTACTGACAGACATGACTCATGGTGACGGTGATTGTGTACATTTCCGGTTCACGTGTAGTCATGAATTCAAAGAATGTCCGCAGTGAGACAAATTTCTTTTACCCTAAAAAAATTGATATCATTTAATGGTCATTTCAAGCTTTATTTTGCATCCGGTGCAAGTGAAGCAATTTTTTTTTTATGTTGGAAATAATAAGCAAATGATAAATGAGAAGCATTTTATGCAAAATGTAATTTTGCATTCAAAATTTAAGCACTTCCTTCACATCATGTAACAATTTAATTACTATCAACTCTAACCCGCCAACATGACGCTTATGCACTAAACCTATCGGTGATTTTAATCTAGTACTACAAGTACTTTATTCGATTTTATCTTATGTCCGATCATACTCGAGGTGTTATCAGACCCTGATACCAAGTGATATGTGCATATGAGTAATTCATCTTTGAAAATCGACTTGATTGATGTGGCACACTAAGGGATGCTAACAAAAGTCTTGAAAAATCAGTTTAAGACAACATAAACTTCAAAAACAATTACTGAAGGAATTGTTGCAGCAAGCCAAGTGCATTGCAAGGCTGCTCAGGACTATAACTTGCAGAAGTAAAAATTGTTGACAACAGTAATATTAAATCTTCACAGCACATTTCAGCTTGTTCAATTTCACCGAGGGCTAGAAGGAATTAGATATGATACCAAAAAATAACTTATCGATACTGTATTGAGAAGTGAATTAAATGTAGATCTTGATTTAAGTTATTTATAGTCATGAATCATATAAACAATTAGAAAAGTAAACCAATGTAATAAAATGACTTTCCACGTGTCATGTTTTGGTATAAAGTCTAGCCCGGGCTGAAACTATGAAATTGTAATAATAGACATAAGAATCGTAACCTGAAAACCTATCAACTCTTTAAACAAGTTTGTAATTAATTGATTGGAGTCGAAAGGGAGGTTCATAAAAATAAAAATATGTGGGGATTTAACTTGAGCCATCACCACAGCACCACTTAAAACAGCTATACAACATTCCTCTAAGGACCATGAAATAATTGTCAATCCTTACGAGGATCCCTCTCTGTCTTTCATTTGGGAATATTAAATGTATTTACCACAAAACAAGGCATGTCCAAATTATTTCCTCCTAATTTTTCAAGTCCTAAAATTCGAAACGTACGTATGAATTTCTTTCAAGTTTAATCATTTATCGTTAAAGTAAAGTATGCCACCAAAGAAAGAAAATCACTCTCGCTTCTCAATTGCCATATGAGTGATTCTCACTCTTGTCTTAAAGTTATTTTGTCTAACCTTAAGGTAGTTCAAGTGGTAATAAGGGTAAACTGTAAATTCAGACATCTTAAATTTAAATTTTGATAACATTTTGGGGCTAAGTCATGAGGGATTTATCCCTCATAAATACCTCAGTTTCGACGTAGATGACTTGTCTTTGACTAAGCCAAAGAGAAGATTAATCAAGGTGCATGTAAGTTGACTCGGACACCCCTGATCATTAAAAAAAAAAAACAAGAAGAGGTTATTTTGTCTATATGTTTACATCTAGTGGAGATCCAAGGATTTGTCCTGTCCATCTGTATATTCAAAATATGTAGACAAATTCTATCCACAATGACAAGTATTTTAGCTGTGTGTGTATGTTTGTCGTAGGAAATGGTCTTAAAAACTACAATAATGATTCACTTGGGAGGAGTTCTATGCACTATGGACACTGATCATGTTATTTTGTGATTGTTTTTAGCTTTCAATGGCCGATGACATCCAAAATGGACAAGCAACCGAATATATTCTGCCTTCTGGCCCATCACCAATGCTATTACCAAAATATTATAAACAATATTTTAAAAATAAAGAGCCTTTTACTTCAGTCTATAAATACCATCCTCTAGTAGTCTCTTCTTTCCAACAAAGAAGCACCACAAAAACCCAATTTGCCCTTCTTCTAGTTGCTCATCTGTCTTCAAAAATCCCAGAAAAATCATGGGTGTTACCACCTTCACCGAGGAGTACGCTTCCCCGATCCCGCCTTCCAGGTTGTTCAAGGCTTCGATCATCGACTCTCACAACTTGATTCCGAAACTAATGCCACAGGGTATTAAGAGCATCGAATTCATTGAGGGCGATGGAGGGGCTGGAAGCATTAAGCAAATCAACTTTGTTGAAGGTTACATCACTTACATATGTTTTTGTATACTCACATGATTTTTCATATGGTTGTGCATGGACTGGGCTAGCTTGTGACAGTCCAAAAAATGACATGTGGTCCACCTCTGTCCGAAAAGAGGCCCAACCACTCCACAAACGGGCCATGACCCTTCCAGAAGCCAATGAGCTGGCTCGAAACCTGGCCTATAAAGCCACCCTATATTCAATTTTTTAATTTATAATTTTAAGCTTTTGTTCTTAAATTGTATAAGTAACAAATAATAAGTTATAAATTGTGACTTTTACGCTATATTTTTCACTATTTTTTAATAAAAAAAATAGCACGCAGTTCAGTCTAGCTCGACTCGTAATATTGCCCATTTAAGAGCTATTTCACAAGACAGGACAAGGTGATCGGTGAAAACTCACAGCCCAACCTAGTTTTTGTGGAATGGGGCATGGTCTCATGGCCCAAATTTTTCCAAGGTTGGGCTGGGCCCATGGACAACCCTACGCCAATTATTCAACAATAAACATGAATTAATATGAATCTTTTTTTATGTAGATAGAGAATTCAATTTTGTGAAGTATCGCATTGACGAACTCAACGAAAAAACATACACATACAATTACACATTGGTAGGAGGTGATTCCTTGGAAGCAAAGCTCCAGAAAATAACTTATGAGATCAAATTCGAGCAGGCATCGGATGGTGGTTCAATCTCTAGGGTGACCAGCAACTATTATACAGATGGTGATTTTGTGCTCAAAGAAGAAGATATCAAGGCAGGCAAAGAAAAGGTCATGGCAATGTACAAGGTTGTGGAAGCTTATCTTCTCCAAAATCCCGACGCCTACTCTTAATCTCCCTCGTTCTTGTTTTTTAACTTGTGCAATTTGAATGTGCAAGGTTGTGGAAGCCTATCTCCTTCAAAATCCCGACATCTACGCCTAATTTTTCGTGTTCTTTTTTTTTTAATTTGCATACTTTGAATGTTTTCTCAAATCAGCTTTAAATTAAAAAAAAAAAAATTTGGCTTTTGATTTGGTTTGTTTGGGAGTATTGCATGTGGTTTTTAGAATAAGGATCCTACCTAGTTTGTGACATAGTGGGGAAGATTGTGTTTGTTGAAATGCTTTGTCCTGTTGTTTATGCATTCAATAAAATGAAGATTCAATGTTCTGTTGAAATTCTCTTGTGAGTTGAACATGTCTTTCTTTATCTCTGACTGATGATATGCAAAGGTGAAATTAGACTATTAACAACGGTTAAAAATTCATCTAGTCTTCTCCAATTATTTATAGTGGACAAATTATACAATTGAAAGGAGGCCCATTAACTATCGTGTGATCAGTACTATCTTTATCTACGATATAATATGATTCATAAACGAATCGAGTACGAGTAAAGATAATTAAAAAAAATATACACTATAATTCGTTTATATATTTATTATACACGAAACTCTGATATGACACATAAGAATTAATAACAAATTAAATCGTATATGAAATATTTTTTTGATAAGAACTATTAAAGACCCGAGATGTACAAGCTTCACCCGACAGGTAAATCCGTTAAAACCTGGACAAGTACCTATCCGAAGGGGACAGCATCACAAGCTTCCTTCAACTTCAAGAAAATCTTTTAGCTTTTCCAAAATATTATAAATTGATTCACGGAAGTACACATCTTTGGATCTCTCTCTCTCTCTTTACTGAACAGTGCCGTATCCAGAATGGCGTCCCATTTCAATGTTTATGCACGCGTCGCTACACGTGCCACCGTGTTACCACCTCACAGGCACAAACACCAAAACCCATTTTCGTTTTTCACCATAGAACCACCAGACCAGTCAAAATCGACAGAAAGAACTAAACCCAGAACCATAAGAAGCACTAGAATTAGGGTTTTAAATGGGGGTGATTCATACTTGGACATGTGGAAGAAGGCAGTGGATTGGGAAAGAAAGTCGATTGAGTTTGAGGAAATGGCTAAGAACTCAGCAGGAACTGTTGGTGGTGATGAGGAAGAAGAAACAGAGAGTCCAGAGGTGTTGGAGAGAAAAAGCAGCGAGTTCCAGAAGATTCTGGAAGTGTCCACGGAGGAGAGAGACAGAATACAGAGAATGCAAGTGATTGATCGGGCTGCAGCGGCAATTGCGGCCGCCAGAGCATTGCTAACAGAGGAATTGTTGCCAGCAAAGAAGGTTTCCGGTGATTCGGGGTCACTGGGGATTGAGGATGGGAAAGTTGAGAGTGGTGGGGACAATGAGGCTCAGCTAGGAGGTAATTAAGCTTTGTTCCTTAGCAAAACAATGCACTTTTAAATTATTTTATGTCTTTGAAATTGTTGGAGAACAGTGATGCATTGTGCTAATTGTAAGTAAAAACTAAATAGGAGTTTCTATAGGGAATGCTCTGCCACCAGCCTTATAGGCCACAGGATAGCTGGTTGGGCTATTAACCAGGAGTTCTGATCTCATTGTTGTATACTTGCTCACAAAGAGAGAGAGAGGGTATTTGCAATTAGAACTTATAGAAGATAGTTTATTTTGTTTAATTATTGGTTTCAGTATGTTATAACAAACCATGCAAGTGATTTTAATGTTGGAATGGAACTGAAAGGTCCTTTTGTTTATGGCAAACCATTTGATTATGCTTTAGAATGATTGTGTTAAAGAGAATGGAACTGTTCTTGTAGCCGATGGTCTAGGATTAGAGTCAACCCCCTAATAATTAATAATCCTGGGAGCCTCTCTTTTTTTTTTTGATGAGACTGTGAGAGATTCGGAAAATCTGATTACGTTAAATATTAAACGTAAACATTATCTATAATATTTATTATGAAATACTGCTCACAATTGAGTATTTTTCACCAAAATTTTGAGGCTTTTGGATGTATTAGTGCCTATTATACCAATAGTATTATTGGAGTGCAGAAATTAGACATGCAAACATCTGCTTATTGCTATACTAATCGTAGAGAAATTGTGGGTTTAAGAAATCACTGAAAATTATTTTTATACAAGATTTTATTTTTCCTTATACAAGATGGAGTAGAAGGGTTGACCCTCTTTGTGGGTTGACATATGGATACAGTAGTAGGAAACTGACACTTGCAGCCCTCAACAAAGTTTGCCACACATCGAGGTATTGTCTGCCCAAAAGTATATGCACTAATTTAGGTCAGGTAGCGAGGGGAATAAAAAATCTTGTCAGTGCAGCATTGATTGAACTACTAGATTGAAATTTTTGTTCATCATAAAGTGAATTTAATTGATTGTGCAAGTAGATAGGTAAGAAACAGCGGCTAGGAGTGCCATAATATGGACCCAATACATTTATTCAAACAAAATCATATATTGGAAGTGAGGAAAAATTATAAGGGAACAAAGTGAAGTCTTTGACTCGTTAGAATTGAAATAATGCTTGCCTTGACTGAGATGAAGTGAACCCTTAACAGAATAGCATTTTGAATACGTGTTTCCACAGTTTCTACTATAACTGTCATAGCTTCATAACTGGTAAGACAGACTAGTCAAGTGGTACAAGGTGAAAACATCATACTGTACGAAACATCATACGATCTCAGGACTGCATTTGAGTTTTGTTGATTCTGGATTTAAGAATGTGTATTGATAGATGAGATATTTGTTGTGACACTTTCCTATCGTGAGTTTTTCTTTCTATGTTTTAATGTGCAAGCTTCAGTTACTTAGATTTCAATATCAGCTGCTGAGACTCTACTTCGTCAACTATATGCAAGTCTGATTGTGTGATTGCTGACTTTTCTCCGTCTCTTCTGTGCCGTTTGGCATTATTGTTCTTGATTAAATTTGTGAACTGATCTCTGCTTTATTAAATTAAATAATCAGTTTGGGAGCTGTTAACACTTAATATCTCTTCTTCAGGATTGTCATTCCTCCTGTAAATTGTATTGTGTATTTATTCCCTCTTATTTATGCATTCCAACTGTACAAGGCAGCTTTACATAATTTTGAATTTGACCAGGAATGCAGAATGGGAGCTCCTTTGTATCTGAGTCAGGAAATGTTGGAAATGGAACACCAGGTCCAAATTTCTGGTCCTGGACACCGCCTCCAGATAGTGATATGGACGATGAAAGTAATATGAAGCCAACCATAAAAACTTCTCCTTCTACTTTAATTAGCCCCGTGATGGAGAAAGATAGACCTGCAGATTTTCTGTCAATCCCATATGAGAGTAAACATTTTGAAAGTAACCACAACCCTCCCCTTCCACCTCTTCAGTCACTGATGGAGGTTGAAAAAGTGGAAGTTTCCAGCTCAAGTCCAGAGACACCCTACTTGGATGAGGAACGTGAACTTGGTGTTCAATTTTCAGCACATGCGGCTGAAGCAGCTCATGCTCTTGATAAGGTAAATGAAGTGATATCCCATGGAGTTTATCCAGATGGATCACGGTGGTGGAAAGAGACAGGAATCGAGCGAAGATCTGATGGGGTGGTTTGCAGGTGGACACTGACCAGAGGTGTCAGTGCTGACAAAGCTGTCGAATGGGAAGAAAAATATTGGGAGGCTTCTGATGAATTTATTTATAAGGAACTCGGTTCAGAGAAATCAGGACGTGATGCTGCAGGAAATGTTTGGCATGAATTCTGGAGAGAATCAATATCACAGGTGTGTATGCAGTTGTGTATTGACCATCAGATAGTGCATACTTCTATTTCATACACATTACTTATCTTCACAACTACCCTCACCCCCCCAAACCCTTTCTCGGTGCTCTCACTTATTCTGAAGACGAGATGAGTGAGCATGGTTATATGTAGTTTTATCGACTTCTTCACCGAAGTTTTTAGACTGACTCCATCCACCAGCTGGATGACTAAAATCTGTCTTGCTGCTTTCTTATCGTCCTATTACCACCATGTTACAACAAGATTCATGCATTCCTTTTGTCCCTCTAAGGTTTTAATCATCTGTTACGAATTGGTCTCTTGATACGCAACTGTAATATTCATCCTATATCTCTTAAGTGAAAAAAAGAAAGATATACTTCCTAGTAATTTATTAAAGCATCTAGCCCTTGACAGATCAACTGGTGAAAAATGCTTTATGTAGCCAACCCAAAATAATAAGGAAAAGGTTTTGTTTTGATTGGTTTGGTTTGCTTACCCCTGAAGTCATCAAGAAAATCTGGCTCTGTCTTTTGCCTCCCAAATCTTTTGCCCATTGCATGACTTTATTAAGCACCAAATGAATTGGGTCATCTTACTGTGGCTCAGGTTGGACATATAGCTCTATGAATAGGTGTATTCTAAAATTATGCCACTTTTGATCTTTATGTTTCTTTTGTGTATCTGTTGCGGATTTATGCAGAATCATGGGATTGTGACTCTCGAGAAAACTGCAGATAAATGGGGGAAGAATGGAAAAGGTGATGAGTGGCAGGAGAAGTGGTGGGAACACTATGATGCCTCTGGCCAAGCGGAGAAATGGGCTCACAAGTGGTGCAGCATTGACCCAAATACACCCGTTAGGGTCGGTCATGCTCATGTTTGGCATGAAAGGTACCAAATTTTACTCATTCTGTATTGATTAGGATTTGATTTCTGCTCGGGTTCTTTGTTCCTTAGAATGGTTATGGGAGTGCCACATAGCTCATCCATTAAAAGACTTCTATGTTTTCTTGAGATTTTGAAGTCTTCGATTCTATCTCTGATTTTCTTTAGATTGGACACTGTAATTCCACCAACTTCTCTGTGATTCTTTCTACTCACCTACTCTATCAATACATGTTTTGAAAGTTACTTTTGGATGCTAGAGGCTACTCTTAAGGATCTATTGTGTGATACATTCCATTTGGGAGATGTTTGACATTGTCCTGCAATCAGTTTAAAAAGCAAACATACACAAATTAGGTTTTGTGGTATGATAAATTGACAAAAATCAAGTCATAGGGTTTCACTATCGTCCAGTGGGATTAGGTAAATACCTTGACATGACAGGCACAATCAGATTACCTTTTATCACGTACCTGCTGTCATGTTTATCTTGCGCACTCACTCCAACAAATTTTCATTGTGATAGTTGATTGTAACAAGTGTGATTAAGAAATTGCAATATCTCCATAGTTGGGTTTAACAATATGTCATACTCAGCTTGGCAGCGTTGTCCCTCATTATATACCAAGTGTAATTGTTCAACAATTTTTGGCAGGTGGGGTGAGAAGTATGATGGGCAAGGTGGCAGCATGAAATACACCGACAAATGGGCTGAGCGTTCAGAGGGTGATGGCTGGACAAAATGGGGCGATAAATGGGACGAGCACTTTGATCCACAGGGTCGCGGGGTGAAACAAGGGGAGACATGGTGGGAAGGGAAGTATGGAGAACGTTGGAATCGAACCTGGGGTGAAGGACACAATGCTTCTGGATGGGTGCACAAATATGGCAAGAGCAGCAGTGGTGAACATTGGGACACCCATGAACAGCAAGATACATGGTATGAGAGGTTCCCACATTATGGTTTTTACCATTGCTTCGACAACTCAGTCCAGCTCCGGGAAGTTAAGAAACCATCCGAGTGGTCTTGAGACATTTTGGAGTTTGCTGTCCCCGGAACAAAGGAGACAACATAAGCTACTGCTATCTCATAACATGCAAAAAGGAACAATTGCTGGGCCATTTACAACCCCTTAGTTAATATAATTGTTTTAGAAATTATGACAACATTTATGGAATAAAATGTGGTACTATGTGTGTTTGTGTGTGTATATATATATATCTTCTCATTCAACGGTATTTACTGTATGTTTTTATCTAGTTTTTGCTTCATGTCTCACTTACGCATTCAGCATTAGAGCATCCCAGGTGATTCTTGCAGCTGCTGCAATGAGGTCCGAGAATTAGGACCGATAATTGAACCTAGCGACTAGAGCTAAGCTCGGGTTTGACTTGTTTTGGGCTTGTTTAGGTTCAGATTATTTTTTAAATGAGCCGAACTTGAACAATTTTTTTGACTTATTTAAAAAACGAGTTCAACAAACTGTACTCATTTATTTAAATATTCTGGTTCGGCTCGTTTTAAGTTCGTTCAAATTTGAGCTTAAACAATTTTTTAAATGTATTTAAACCATCCCATCAAGATGGCCAATATTTAGACCATGTCCAGTTTTTAACATCATAATCATCAAGATGGCAAATATTCAGATCATGTCCAGTTTTGAGCAAAATAATCGAACGACACCATGAGCTTAGCCCAAAAATTTATACAAATTATACATTTGAACTTGTTATTTTGTAAACCCGTAAATTTTAGGATATAATATTGTTAGGTTTTTAATAGTTTAAATCTCGATGAAAAATATATGACATTGCTGACTACATTATTATTGACACGTGATATCTTTATAAGAAGATTTCTAATAAAACTATGGCCTGAAGTTGAATGTTTGTTCCTGATATGTGATTTCTGGTTAGGAAAGATCATAAGATCAAACGAACTGGGGGAGAATAAAATTATTAAAGATGCCCTAAAACAAAAGATACGACGTCGTATTGAAGCTTTTAATTCCTATGGCCCTGATCGTTCAATCTTCCCACTTCCCAGTACCTCCAACATGTGGCGGTGATAACTCTCCTTCAACAGAGCAACAGACGAGTTTCTCTCTCTCTCCCTCATGCATACCATGACCACTTTCATTTCTCAAGTCACCACCTCTGTACTTCTCTCCAACTCAACTTTCTTGCTAGTGCAATCAAATTGGTAAGCCATCCTTTGACTACGCTTAGAAATGTGCTTTATGAGAAACATACATATTCTGTAAAGGAACTACACCACTGGAAAAGAACCAATTTTTAGCCATTACACACTACACTAAAGCCTAATTTCACTCAAGATTGCATCTGGGTTTGCTCTCTGGTTCTCAAAATTTGATAACAAAATCCCCCCAAGGCACTAGAATTTGTTTCTGGGTTTGATTTATTTCATCATTTCATGGCTTCTTCAATGATCAATGGAGCTGAAAATCTCAACCTCATTAGTGGCAGAACTCCAAAGGGGTTAGCTTTTATTGGGTCAGAATTTCACAGAAAATGCTTTCTGAGCAAGGGTTTAGTGTCTTATACTAGGAATTTCAATGCCAAAACAAGAACCCTAAATTGCAGTTTATCTTCCTCAAGACCTGTTTCTCAGCCTAGGTTCATACAACACAAAAAAGAGGCATTTTGGTTCTATAGGTTCCTATCTATAGTTTATGATCATGTCATAAACCCTGGCCATTGGACTGAAGATATGAGGGATGAGGCTCTAGAGCCTGCTGATCTTTATGATAGGAATATGATAGTGGTTGATGTGGGCGGTGGCACTGGGTTCACCACTCTTGGTATAATCAAGCATGTTGATGCCAAGAATGTGACAATTTTGGACCAGTCACCTCATCAGCTGGCCAAGGCTAAGCAAAAGGAGCCTTTGAAGGAATGCAAGATAATTGAGGGTGATGCTGAGGATCTTCCTTTCCCCACTGATTATGCTGATAGATACATTTCTGCTGGAAGGTAATTTCTCTTCTTTACTTTTTATGGTTCTGTTTTTGAAGCCAAAGGTGGTATTTACAGAGTCTCAAGTTGGGGAATAACGATAAATTGTTGCAACATTTATAAGTTTAGAATGAAACTGGAATTTGATGTACTTTTGTAGATGTTTGGTTATGAGTTTATCAAAATTGAATTTTGAAAACTAAGAAAAAGAAGATTAAGATGCTGTTGTGTTGTGGCATATGCTGTTGATGATGTGAAGTAACAATCCTCAATTTGATTTTTTAATTTTGTTCTTTTTGGCATGATAGCATATTAGTGAATACCAGTATGACTAGGTCGAGTCGGATTCAGAATGACTCCTTTCGTTCTGTGATACACATTTTGTGTAGACCACAAGTCTCACTTGACTCATGGTTGACTAGGAGACATCTCAAATAACTTACCTAGTCGTTTGAATTATCATCATTGAATCACAATATATCACCTGATAGTTTTCCATGATGCCGTGATATGCCCTAAATCTATTGTTATGCTTAACTTTTTTTTTTTAATCTACCATTTCTTGCCTTTCATCTGATGTCGTTCCACAATACGGTTCCACAACACTCTGACCAATGCGTCTCAATGTGCTCTAAGTTGATGGCCAATATTGTGACCTTGAATCATGCTAATCACACATACGTTCACGCAACAGCTGGTGATTGTCACTGCTGATTTTTTTTCCCTAATATGAGAAAACATTTTCTTACAATAGCTTGTCTATAATGTATGTGTTCATTATCTTCCTCAGCATTGAGTACTGGCCAGATCCACAGCGAGGCATCAAGGAAGCATACCGGGTACTTAAAATAGGGGGAAAAGCCTGCTTAATTGGCCCTGTGTACCCAACGTTTTGGCTGTCCCGCTTTTTTGCAGATTTGTGGATGCTCTTCCCAAAAGAAGAGGAGTACATTGAGTGGTTTAAAAAGGCTGGTTTCAAAGATGTTCAACTAAAGAGGATTGGTCCAAAATGGTACCGAGGCGTCCGTCGACATGGCCTGATCATGGGTTGCTCTGTGACTGGTGTGAAGCCTCTGTCAGGGGACTCTCCCCTTCAGGTAGCTGAAATGCATTGTTCATTATATGTGTGTTTTTCATGGGTACGGCTAGATGAAAATATATTCATTTTGTTGCTTTATTTGCTTCATTTTTGTGATGCCTAAAAATAATGTCACACCTCATATCAACACAACCTTATATTCTTGCAAGTTTTTTACTGCTTCAGGGCAGTGATCATGTGGTTAGGATCATGTAAATGTAGTGGTCTTTCATCTTTAAGGAAACATCAGTGGTGTTCATGTATTGTGGATGATAAGCAAGTGTGGTGAATTCTCCTCGCAAGTTCTCTGTTTACAAGGTCAATTTGGGATAGGGGCTCAGTTCATCTTGATAGTTCTACTTGAGTTTTGTGGGTCTTAATTAGAGATTCTCATAGTTGCTACTGCCTTTTTTAGAATGAATTTTGTTATACAATAAATTTACACTATAGACGTATGTTGAGTTGTGAAGTTTTTTTTTTTTACTTACCCAAAAAAAAAAAAAAGAGTTGTGGAGTTTTAAGCCTGTTGCCTGGGTGCTTAAAGGCACATACTGGATGCCACCCTAATCATTTTGGCATATTTTTGCACAAAGTGGTTGCTCTCACACTCAAATCCTTGTTCTTGTGCTTGCCAACCCGAGCATTGTTTGACTAATCCAAGCAACGACTCTGGAGAGTCATAAAATACATGTATTACATTGAATGCATTAGCCAAATCTGATTATGAGAAAGGATATTGAATTGAGTTCTGAAGTTATTGTCACCCCCATTAATCTACCTTAAAACATTTAAAAAATATGAGAAAATGTTTAAGCACAAAGCAACTGATAAATTTGGTACAAGGACCAACTGGTAAAGGCTTTGCTCATTGAACTTTCACTTTTGCACAGTGGTTGCTTTAGGCACCAAGAAATTTTTCAGACTTCTTTCGCTAAAATAGGTGAGAAAATGTCATTCCATACATCAAGTGATGAATAGTAAAGATATTTAGAGGGCAAAAAGGATTGCAATGCTGAAACCGCCTCTAAGGCTGGGGAGCATCTCCTTGTGTTTTAAACATCACTAAATGATGGATGCCTGTGGATAGTTGGAGAGGGTGGTGTTATCTTGTTGCAGATTTGCTCTTTCCATCCCTGTCAGTGTTCTGTGAACAGACTACTAGGTGGTTCACGAACTACCTAGCATTAGCAATGGTAAAGGTTTCAATTCCTGAAAGAATTCTGTTTGAATTTAGTTATCTGCTAGAGATAATAGATACAATTTAGGGCAAAATCCAGTTTACCCCTTGTGGTTTGGTCGTTTTGCACATCACCTCCTTATGGTTCAAAAATCAGCACATAGCCCCCTTGTATTTTTGGACTAAAGTGCGACCGTTACTATTTCTGTCAAAAGTGACAGAAATTGTGACACACGCGCTAGATTTGCAAGTATGGATGTAAAAAATTTAAGTCAAAGTCAAAACTCTCCAAATATACCCTTGTGATCTTTCAAAAAGACATTTTTTTATCTTTTATACATTTTATTGTTAGAAAAAAAAAATCCTCATTTCTCTTTTCTCGTTTCTGTGCCTCTCCAGCTCTCGCGTCCTCTCTCTTGTATTTGTTCTTGTGGTTTTCGGTGGGGATGGTGAGGTTTTTTAATGGGTTTGGGGATGGGGTTCAGGGGTTGTTGGGGGTTGGTTTTCGGGGGTTTGGGGCGTGGGTTTTTAGGGGGGTGTTGGGAGTGGTTTTCAGTGGGGTTTAGGGGTGTTGGGTTGTTGTTGGTGGGGGTGGGTTTTCGGTATGGGTGGTTAGTGGTGGGTGGTGGATTGCAAGGGGTTTGGGGAGTGGGTTTGTGGTGGGGTTAGGTGGTGTTGGGAGTGGGGGTTCCAGGGGGTGTTGGGGTTGGTTTTTCGTGGGGTTTGGGGATGGGGGTTTCGGTGGTGTTGGGTTGTTGGTGGGGGTGGGTTTTCGGTATGCACTTTAGTCCAGATTTGCATATTTCTTTGATTGATCAGTGAATTCCTTTCTCAATATGTCTAGATCGAGCATTAACTTCTGTGCATTTCTCTCCCACCTCTTAGCTTCTGAACGAAGCTCTTCAATGGTGTCTTCTGCTGCTTCCAGTAGGTTTTTGGAAGAGCCAGCATTTGTTAGAGATGATGTAGCAATAACATGTGAAGAACTTTGCCCAAACTCTGTTTCTTTATTCTACAAATCATCACTTGATTCTGCAAATCATACCGAAAATCCACCCTAAACATGTATTTATTTTCATAATTTTTTAAATATATATAATTATCAAACATTTTTTATATTTTTAAATTTTTATCACAAAAAAATAAAAATTAGTTTTTGTAAGCAGTTGTGATTTAGTGGTGATGGCCAATAACTAGTGATTCAGTGGAGAGTTGAACAGTAGGTGAAGATGCGATTGGGTTGGAGAAGATGTGGTGACAAAGTTTATTCAGATTTTAAGGATGGCAAAATGGTCTTTTTGCCACTGCCGTTAACAGTGTTACCTATGCACTTTAGTCCAAAAACACAAGGGGGTTATGTGCTAATTTTTGAACCACAAGGAGGTGATGTGCAAAACGACCAAACCACAAGGGGGTAAACTGGATTTTGCCCTAAAATTTAACTGGCAGGACAAATACTTATTAAAAGGCCATGTGCATTGCTAAACAGGTTTGATTAAGTTTGGGCTAACATACAAAAGGAGAATCCCATGCAAAACAACCCATACCAAAACCCTGGACAAGGATTGGCTCACCAAGAGAAATCCAAAAAGGCTTCTTTGACTCAGATGACTTAGTTTTATATAATCTCCAAATGAATTTCATTTTGGAGAGTTAATCTTGTGAAATGTATGTTGGTATCTGGCTTCACTTTCTAGAAATGGACTACACTGCTTCTTGAAAGGAACTGTCAAATTAGTGGATGTTGAGATTTGATCTTTAGCACATTGTATTATGAGTATTTTTGAAGTTAAATTCAGCAACAAATGCATCAATTGTCTTTACTTACGAAACCTTTCCTTCAATGTGTTTCGTGTCACAGCTAGGTCCAAAGGCAGAGGATGTGGAGAAGCCAGTGAATCCATTTGTGTTTTTCTTGCGCTTCATTCTCGGTGCAATTGCAGCAACCTACTTTGTCCTAGTTCCAATTTACATGTGGCTCAAAGATCAAATTGTTCCGAAGGGTAGGCCTATCTGAAAGAGAAGAAAGACTGCAATTTACCCATGGATCAGCATGCATCTTGGCGCGTCAAGCCTTCCTTTGCCATCTCTCTCAAGTAAGACAACTTATTGTATCAGATGGACAAACATGCCTGAAAGCATTGGTGTTTAGGTTTACAAATATGTATCTTTAGGAAGGCTGTTGGATATTATGCTGTGCTAGAAACCCACTTAAAGAGTTTATGTTGCTTTTTCTACCTGTAATGGATATTGAATAGTTTTGTGATCACTTGCTATTGGGAGATTTTAAATTCAGCAGGAACCCTTTTTCCTTTCACATTTCGAAGAAGAATTATATTTCTTGCTAATTTCTCATTTTTACATGTTTTATTTTTAAAAGATTTTGTAGATACCCCTCATTGCAGCATATAGGATGATGATGCAAGGCACCCAAAAAGCCAACCCCTCCTCCCCCCACCACTTGCCACTGAAAAAAATAAAAGAAAAAAATATAAAAGAAAAAAGTGTAAAATACATTTTTAGTCCCCAAAGTATGTGTGTGTGTCTATTTGATCTCTAATTTTCAATTGTGCCTATTTGGTCCCTAATTTGTATTTAGGTGGTTTAATCCTAAATGTTTGCCAGAAAATTCTGACGATTCTAGTCATGCGTCAATCACGTGGTTTTTAATTTTGTGTTTATTTGATTCTTAAAATTTTTAATTTGTGTCTATTTGGTCCCATGTGATTGGCACGTGACGAGATATGTTAACAATTTTTGACAAATGTTTGAAATGGGACTGCATAAATCCAAATTAGGAACCTTGGGGACCAATGGGACACCACGTATACTTTGGGGACTAAAAAGTGTATTTTATCAACCAAAAAAAAAAAAAAGAAAATGTGAAGAGTTATAAAAATATGATTTTAATCTCAAATTTCCAATCTGGCCCTAAGAAATAAAAAAAAAAAAAAGAGAACAATTTTGAATCTCAAACAGCCTATCAGATTTTGGCAGCTTTGGACCTAGAAATGTTCAGTGTTTCCAGCTGGATGTTCATGAACACTACTCAGAAGAAGATTGGTCACCAACCAGAGATAACATTGCTGGTCCCTCCCTATGGAGTTGGAGAACCTGTGATGCAAACCAGTCTGGACCTACTTACCTAGAATTAATAAGCTCAATCAACCAATGCGTCACGTATGAAAATAAACGAGTTTTAATACTGGGTAGACTAGTTTGTGTCAACGGTTCACTCAAAATTTGAAGGTTCTGAGTTTGAGTCTCGTGTTTCAATCATTCACATACATTTATCTTACTATTTGATGAGTACATCTGGGATGAGAGAACTCCGTGTGTTTGAAAATATTAATCGAACGTGTTAAAAGGCTCCAATGAGTTAATTCGTTAGTTATATAGTTGGAATGCCGATATTTAATATTAATCGAACGTGTTAAAAGGCTCCAATGAGTTAATTCGTTAGTTATATAGTTGGAATGCCGATATTTTTTTGTAGCCTATGACTAAGAAGTAATTTCCCTATCATGTTCTTAAAGTTGGAAGTCCAATGGGTGGGCCATGACCAACACAATTTCCAGGCACTTGTGCATTCATTTCTGGTGTTTTTCTTCTTGTTTCCGTTACAAATTTTGTTTTCAACAACGATCCAATCAAAGGAATAGTTGAATGAATCTAGTCTATTCTTGAGGAAGAATAGAATTGCTATCCAGCTGGTAAGATTGGAACTCAAATCATGTCATCTGAACTTCTTAATCACTTGCACTAGACTCCATTTTTGGCACTATTTTTATTTTGGGAATAGTAACCGGCGGGACTCTAGGTGGCTCTATAGCCCCCGGATTGATGCGTGGAATAATGAAGTCGTTGAGATATCTAAAGGGTGCCGAGGAGGTAAGCCGAGATATGGTGACACGGAGCAGTCGAGTATGATAGTTGACATCATATTTAATGTGATGTGACCCGTCATTCATGGTAGAACGAGTGATAGTGACAAGACAAATAAATGCGTGTCTGTCAACACCTGCCCTCTGGGAGTCTAAGCCTACTATCATGATGGCTAAACATTAATGGCTGATACGTCGAGACGACGTGATCGGCTCTCCCGAGGAACTATTCCCTCCGAGTATTCAATGCTCGGTTGATGTTTGATGCCGATCTGGAAGATTTGGCCGAGCATTTATCCCATTTTCCTAGCATTCAATCGGAGGAGACGTGAGTAGAAAACACTCATTGCACGAGGAATGATGTGTCAGATGTAAGATGTCCAGATGGGACTTGAGATCTTTGACAATCATTGCTAATTCAAGTATAAATATTCCTCAGAAAAATGGACAAAGGTACGCAAACTTGAATCAGAAAAATAGTCCATTGAGCAAAACCCTTCGACTTTATACTGACTTAAGCTTCAGAGGGGATTAGCCGGGCGCTCACTTGGCCCCCTTTTTTCTGACCCTGTTATTTTAGGTTCGCTAGCTGAGAGATCGCTGTCTCATATTATTGCAGGAATTATCCCATGCAATTTGGCGCCGTCTGTGGGAACGAAGGCATTTTTTCTGGTATCAATCGTCTGATGGTGAAAAGTCGATCTCAGGGTGAGGGAGCAAGTGTACGGGCTAGGAAGGTAGAGCCCATCTGGCTTCCAATGGTTCTGGAGCCGGGTTTATTAGGCTAATCAGATGGGGTAGGACATTCTTCACAAAGAACGCTCCCTGTGGATCAGGGCCTTGGGGGGCGTGACCTCATGGCCCATGACATCGTTGAGATGGTGGAAAAATGGATGGGCAAACGCATTAAGCAACTTGAAAGAGAAAACGCCAAAGTCCAGCAATGTCTTGACGATTTCAAGCAGTCAGCGAGCGCGGGTGAGCATAGTCGCAGGTTCGAGGACTAGGTGCCTAGCCAGAACTTGTCCAGACCCCCCTAGTATTGGCCCTCTAGGAAAGATTGGATTAGGCACTCGCCCGAGGGACGTAACTGCCAAGGAGGGTTCTCGGCCTCCAAGGAAAAGTCAGAATTGGGCCAGAAGGCAAGCTTGTCCAGATGGGACCTACGTCGAGGGATACCCGAGGGCGTCGGAGCTGCCAAATCACAAGTGGAGTCCATACCCCGAAGGCCTCGAGGAGAAAGATAAAAAAAAGGATCCTAGGGTCCCCTTCATTGCTCAGCGCAACCATGAGCCCGAGGTCTACTCTGATGAAGTTATCTCACCGTTCTTCCGAGCTATCAGGGACGCCAAGATGCCGAAGAAGTTTACCGTCCCACGGTTCAAAGTCTATGATGGGAAAATCGATTCTGAGAGCCACCTTCGGTAATACAGACAATTGATGTCAATCTATGATACTGACCAAAGGGTGTTGTGCCGAGTTTTTCCCATGAGCCTAGGGGACATGGGTATGAGGTGGTATGAGAACCTTGCTCTTGAGAGCGTTAGATCCTAAAAATAATTGACGGAGCTCTTCATAGCTCGATTCATCACCAGCAGTAAGAAACCGAAGGACATCGGCGCTCTGTTGACGCTTAGGTGGAAAGGGGGAGAGACACTCCTACAATATGCGGTCCGATATTGGGATGAAGTGAACGAGGTGAATGCATGTTCAGAGGCATTGATTGCGGCATCATTTAGGCTGAAGCTGTCCTAGGACACTGATTTGTACAAATCGCTGACTAAGAAGGCTCCGGCGGACATGAAAGACTTGATGGCTCGAATTAACAAATATGCCAAGGTGGAGGAAGAATTCGTCGGCCCCGAAAGCAGGGTCACGGTGCCGAGAAAAAGGGAAAGGGAGCAGCCGGCCCGAAGGGGAGGGCCTATTCCACCCCCAACTCGCCTATCCTTCCAGGAAGTGAACACGATATTCAACGAGCCCATTCACAAGATACTTCCTAAAATAAAAAACAAACCTTAGTTCAAGTGGCCCCTGAGGATGTTTGGAGACCCATCGACAAGGAATACAACCTTTCGTTGTTCGTATCATAAAGATATCGGCTATTTGACAGAGGATTGCAAGATTTATAAATTCTTCCTCGAACAATTGGTGCGAGACGGACACCTTGGGGAATTTATCGACAGGGGTCGTCCCGGGGGGTCTGCGAGGGAGCGAGCTGAGGTAGCACCCGTGATTGATGTTATTCATGCCTGCACAGTGGAGAGGCCTACATACAACTCCTTCCGCGCTGAGTTACAAATGGTCTCTCAAGCAGTCAGGGTGGACGAAATGGGTGATGAACGGCCGCCCAAGAAGTCGCGGAGTAGTGCCGAGGTTATCCAATTTTTTGATGTTGATCTCGGCGGGATAGTCCTCCCCCACGAGGATACATTAGTGATTACTTTGCAGGTCGAGAAGTTCGACGTCAAAAGGATCTTGGTGGACTCAGGTAGTTCTTTCGAGGTAATGTATGATCACTTCTTCCGCAAGATGAGACTCTCTCAGGGGGATCTGGAACCCGTAAACCCCCCCCCCCCTCATCAGTTTTAATGGTTTCAGTGCCCTGTCCCTTAGAAAAATCACCCTCATGGTACGGGCCGGGGGGGGGTGACCACGCCAGTAGAATTTGTGGTAGTGGACTCCGACTCCCCTTACAACGCTATTATGGGGAGATCATGGTTGCATGCAATAAAGGCGATCCACTCATCCTCAAGGATCAAAATGTCGTGTCGACACGTCCGAAACGTCCGAAACGTTTCGGAATTTCAACACTCCGAAACGAAACAATAGTTGAATCACAAAATTCCAGTGTTTCGGTCGAAACGGTACTGTTTCGGACCATTTCGATCGAAACGGCATTGTTTCAAACCGTTTCGACAAAACAGTGATATATTCGGTTCATTATGAATAATTACATTTAATACCCCATTATAATTACATTTAATACCCACTGTAATTACATTTAATACTCACTATAATTATATTTAATATCCCACTATAATTACATTTAATTCCCACTGCTCTTCTGTCTTTTATAATTTTTTTGTTATAAGAATAAATAATTACACTTAATACCCTACTATAATTATATTTAATACCCATTATAATTATATTTAATACATACTATAATTATATTTAATACCTCACTGCTGTGCAAGTTTTTTGTTTTTTTTTTTGTTATAAGTATTAACAATTACATTTAATACCCTAATGTAATTATATTTAATACCTACTGTAATTACATTTAATACCCACTGCAATTACATTTAATTTTTAAGTATCATTAATTTAATTTGATACCCTTCATTATTAGTATTATAATAAAATAATATTATTAATTGGATTATATTACCGTAATAATATGATTTGGAGTAACTATTGTCATCATATTTATGTCACAT